CTACATTAAGAGAAAGATAGTTAGGTTGCAAAGTTAACCCTTCATAATAGAGGAAAAAGTAAATCAGGAATTTCCTAACACCCAAATTCTGCCCCCTTGCACATACACGTCATCCAGTGACTGGACTGGGGACAGGGAGCAGATTGAATTTCAAATAGTGCATGAAAACATCTATTCTATGAGCAGCCACACTACCACAGACGACTATGCACAAGTATTTTGTCCCTTTAAAAATAAAAAAATGTAAATAAGTATGCATATCCAACCTTGCGGAGCGAATGTGTGTTTGCGCCACTTAAGTGACAAAAATCAAAAATGTTTTACGAGGGCATATACTTATTATCCCTTGGCATCCTTAAGCTTGTGGCAGCATATAGTAAAAAGTTACTATGGTTTCGTGAGGCCAGTCTTTAAACAAGCTAGCGTTTCAGGGACACAATTTTTCTAGTAGATGGATTTTTTTCTGTTTAGTTTCTCACATGATACAGTTTTAAGCCAGCCAGTTAGTTAAAATTGCTTGCTTAAGAACTGGATCTCATTTCCCTTACCACCTACATTTATATTTCTACTATTATCTTTTTAGAAGTTTGGGCTGAGTGCAAAGTAAAATAGAGCCAGTAGGGAGCAGAGTTACGGCATGCCATCTGTGAAGAAATGGTATTCTTATGCTAATTAGACAGGAGTTTAAAAAAAAAATTGGCTAGAAGTCAAATAGTACAGCGCAACATGGGACAGCCACAGCAAATGGCCAAAATATTATAAGTTAGTGATCTAACAACCCAAAGGTAGCAGTATTATCAACTTTGTTAAGAAAAAAGTAGTTTGAAATGTTGTAGCTTTTAGTAGGATATAACTTTCTACTTCAACCAGACAGAGTATTAGAGAGTGTGTGTGTGTGCGCGCACACAGACACACACACTAAATTTGTAGGGAGAATTGCTCTGTGTATCTACTAGGATATATTCATTAAGGTTGACCGTGGGAACTATACAGCACTTTTAATTTCATTCAGATCATCTACCAACCCAGACAAGAGTTTCTCAAGCCAACAGATATGGGAGATTCACCCCCTCAACCAGGAAATAATGAAAGCAGGATTGATGCCCCACATTAATTAAATGCATAGTTATATCAGGAGTTTACTTCTCTGGCTCTTTTTTTTTGGCCAATTTCTGGCCAATTTTCTTAAAGGAATACTCAAATAGTAAGACCCAACATGTACATTTTGTTTAGAAAAGTTTCAGATCCTATGGTTTAAAAAAAAAAAGTGCATTCAAAAAGAAAGTGAAAAATTTAGAGGTAAATATTCCTCAAAAGCTTTTACAACTGCATCATTTGATTAGCCTAAGAGAATTAGAGCCTGAAACTAATCTATTTTCATTGTAAAAGCTGAATGCAACACCTGAGCCAAGTGGATTACTATCCATAATACAAAAGGACCCTTTAAAATGACTTTAACCTGAAATTTCTTTAAGTGCCAGTTGATAAAAAGTCAGATCACAGAGCATAAAGAGGACAGAGTAAGAGATGGGATAAATAATACTGGGAAACAGGTGTTCTAACTGGCCCTTACAGTAACAGGAAAAGTAAAGGACAATTTAGGTTACCTCCCACACATTCAGTGTATCAAACCAGTGTCCGATTAGTCCACTCATATACAGTATTTTCCAAGGAGAGTTGTGGGCAGGACAGAGTACTGAAACTTTCATAGTTTTGGGGTAAAAAGACTTGATCAAATTTTAGACTCTTTTTTGCCTGATTTTCTGATTGGCTAAATTGTTCATGTTATAAAGACATGCTTGTGGATGGAACACAATGCAGATGCAACATCTGAAATACCACTGTAACAATGCACTACTGACACCCATCTAACTTTATTCTTTCTCCAAACTTATTACAACTGAAGGGCACTGGGCCTTAGATTTTAACAGTACCAGATACAAGTTAAGAGTTCTATTAAATCCAACACTGAATTCTAGAGCAATGGGGAAGTAATCACATACTGCTTGTGTAACTACCTTCACTCTGAATACCACATATGAAGTCTTCTGATGCCAATAATCAAGGATTCCTCCCAGATCGAAGGCTGTAATCAGCATAGGACTGTACTCTCCTGCAGAGACCAGACCAGTCACATTTTGATATGCCCACTTTTACATGTGCATTCCAGATAGCTAATTGGATCAGAGGTAAAGGTTTAAAGGCAAAAACAGCAACTGTAAAAAAAGATGTAATGTTTTTTGCTTATTATGCAGATTTGTTTTTTAGACTCCTATAGAATTAACAGGTCATTGTGAACCACCCTTCCTTTTTTTAATCCAGTATGGCCTTCTTGATTGTGGCTTTTGGCGCATCTAGTGAAGTGTTTTTTAAACAATTCACACTTATCATTCACATGTTTCTGATTAAATTCTTCCTCCCGTGTGAGGTCTCAATTCTTTTCAGATTTGTGAAATTAGCCCTTAAAGTTCATTCATATTTAATAGGAGGAAGTCTTGATTGACTCAATTTGCATGAGTGCCTGACTACAGCAATTTGCCTTAACCTTGTGAAAATGCGAGTTCGAGCATCTAGCTTTCTATACACATCTATTTTGATTAGCATATTGAAAGGAAAAATTGCTCTATAATAATTTCAGAATGGAAACTAATTTTTAAATTACAAAATAGATAGCCAAGTACACAACAGTGGATATATTCACTCTTCAAAACAAGAAGCTGTGATTAAGGCATTAACAAGCTTACCGTACAGTACCTACCATCTACCCACCAAAACCACTCATACAGCCCATCTCTGCCTCTTAATATGAATGCTTTCCCTCCCCTAAAACTAGTGGTTTTAGCATGCCTAAAAAGTGCTAAACTGGACAGAGCTGAAGACAAGTCTTGATAAGTAGGGCCAGTATTGCATGGTAGCAGCAAACTGAGTACTCCAGCACTCATTTGCCTTAACTTGTTTAGGGCAAGCAGGTATAAAAGTGACATAATGCAATCTTACTTGCGGGCTAGACTCTCAGTGAAGTTAACAACTTGGCCCTAAATCACTTGGTAAGTATGCCCATAGTAATGCAGGTTTATAGGGGTATTTGGTGATAAGTGTGGCCCATCACTTTAACTGACAGAGATCATGCAACAGGAACTGTAACTTGTCCCACTAAAGAAGCCTATAAATAAGAAGGGCAAGAAACGTACAGGGCCAGAACTAAATTGATATAGCACCTCAAGTCAGAAGCAATTGACATGCATACCAAAATTCCATCACCTTACATTTTTAGGCTGGTTAAGAGATATGCCTGCTCAAAGTGACCTTTGTTTGGATCAACAGTTCCTTCAATAGCTCTTGTGGAGATGCATGGAGAGAGAACATAAGCAGAAATATGGGGCGATGAGCACTATAGACATGAGATGTCACTCAACCATACACAGGCTTTTGAAGTCTACAGGAAAGGATCCAATGGTAACTGTTCATATCGGCACTAATGACACTGTCACGGCATATTTCACAGATAATAAATTTAAGAGACCTCCGAAGCATGCTCATAGAGACGATCACTTGGACAGCAGTCATTCCTGTCCCACAACCAAAGGAAGAGAGAAGGCAGAAGATTCTGGAAGCAAACTGCTGGCTAGGTAAGTAATGTACGGTTTTGGTTTTGTGGAGCATTAGTCCACCTTCTGTGGGGAATAGGAGCTGCATAGTTTAGAGGGCCTCCACCTCAGCAGAAGAGGAAGTAATCTTGTTGGGCCAAGCTGGCTAGAGTAGTCAGAGGGCATTAAACTAATCACAAAAGGAGTGGGTGAAGAGGGAAGATATGAGCACTTCACACTTCTCAACATCTTAGGGAACCAAAGGACACAAAGAGAAGAAATTATTTAAATTGCCTGTACACCAATACTAGGAGCCTGGGTAACAAACAGGAAGATTGGGAGTTCATTTATGAGCATAAATTTAATCTAGTTGGTATTAAAAAATTGTGGGATGATATCCACATTAATATTAAAAATCACTTATACCTGTGTAGGAATAACTGACTGTGCAAAAGGGAAGGGGAATGGCAATAGCACTCTACATCAAGAATGGTATTACCTGTTTGAGTCACTGATAACTCAGCATAAAGTTATCTTGAATGCTCCTGGATCAACGTCCTAGCAGATAAAGCACAAAAGGGGTATTAGTTAGCATCTGCTATAGACCATCAAGCCACACTAGCTAACAGGATGACCATATCCTTTCGCACTTATTTATAGCAAGTGGGGGGGGGGAAAACTGTGCAACTATGGGGGACTTCAATTTGAGTGATGTACACTGGAGGTCGTATGCTGCCAGTACTAAAACATCCTTGAAATTTTCTAAATATTATAGTTGACAACTTCCTCACTCAAAAACAGTGTTGCATCCAACATCAGGGAATTCTGTATTAGACCTTGTCTTGACATATAAAGAGGAATTGGATCACAGAACTAAAAATAGTAATGGTAGATAGAAGTGATCACATTTATAATGTGCAAACAGAATAAAGTCCAGACCAGCGATCATATACTTGGTGCTTTATAAGGGCTAATTTCACAAATCTGACAGCAATTATGAGACAATTCACACAGGAGGAAGAATTTAATCAGAAACCTGTGAATGATAATTGGGAATTATTTAAAAAATACTTTACTAGATCCCCAAAAACCCACAATCAAGACGGCAGTACTGGATACAAAACCCAACCCGGGTTAGACATGAGATAGACACAGAGACAGTATAAATAAACAAATGGAAGAAAGGTGAAGTTCAAAGCTAGGAATTGAAGAAAGGCATTCAATTATGAGTTCTATGTGCAAAGAAGAGGCGAGTAGGGCAAGTTTCAGATTGAGCAGCCATTCCATCCATGAAACACTGTATGTTGTCCAATCTTTTATAATTTGACTTCCTGTTTAATTTTAGAAGTCAGAATACAGTTAGTATTTGCCCATGGCCCATAGAAAGACATTAAGCCAGGAGGAGTCAGTAAGGTAAGTGTCAATACAACCCTCAAAATGTAAGTTTATTGAATAAAGCTGAAGAGCAGTAAACCAACAATATGCATCCATCTAAATAAAAAAATTCACTTATTTACAAAGTTCAGTAATTATATAAGTTGTTCACATGCAGAGATTAATGCACAGGTTAACAGTTGGTAGTAGTGTTTGGATGCCATAAATTCTAAAAGCAGTCAAGTAGATACACACCAAACACATCAAGTTCAGCTATAGGCCAGTTAACTAAACAGTAACCTGGTCCCCACAGAAAGATTCACACATTCTAGTTCAATTTCCTTATTTTTAGGCACAAGCAAAGTTGCTAAATAAAGTAACTGTAGCAGTTCATGGTGAACTAATGACTACAGTAGCAAGTTAATATACCCCTCTCTACAGCACCAACACTAGTATGGGATTAATTGAAACCATGCTTCAGAGAATGAAAGGACAAAACTAAAATACAAGCTGGGTTTATGAATGAAGACAACATGTAGTGTGCGCACAGTGCAGTAGTTGGTACAGAACACTAAGGTCATAGCAATCTAAATTAAAACTGGTTTGTCTTAATTACGTGATGGACGAAAGTGTTCACAACTGAAGGCTCTGAAACTGCACCATCTGAATCTATGTTTAGGTGCTGCTTAAAAGAATCACACACAGTGTGAGGCAACACAAGCAGGTGTATCATAGTTGTGTACACTACAGTGGGCTACATTAACATTACTATATGCACAAACTAGTCTTGATGAGTCTGTCCCTTTAAATATACTGAAGTCACTGAGAAAGTATCGCTACAAAGACATGTTACAATCTTTAGTTTATACATATTTCTCTATACTGTAGAAGCTAATCAAGAAATAGGATCAATTCATTGGCTCTTGTGCTTTGAGACACAATGAAATATTTAAACTTACAACCTGTAGACTTTGCACATGATTACATTGAGAAAGCAGGCATGTCTAGAGTTGTCACAATAGCTAGATATTCCATAGCACCAGGTGAAACTGTGCCCAGCTATTCCATGAATAAGAGACACTGACTTGACAGTTCCACAGGTGCAGTGCTGAAGTCAACAGTATCACTGATTACCAAAATAAAGTTATTTGAGTATCATGCAGCAACTCAGATTTGTTCTGGTGTTTCAGACAAAGATCATTTAAAGCATCTGGAGATAGAAAAATGCATTTGTGAGCAAAGCAATGCTCTTAGCAATTTGTTTAGTCTGCTAGAATACTCCAACTGTTGAAAGCTGTTAGTAAAATATTCCATTTCCATCCTCATAAAATGTTAAACAAAAAGGCAGATACAAGTAATGATCTCGACAAATACAAGATTTGGCTTTTCTAATTCATCAGAAAAGTGGTGTCTAAAAGTGACTACATAAAGTCCCATCTGTAGAATTAGTGATGCTGACCTAGTGCTCCCCTATGCAGACAGTTTCCATTTCTAAATCTTACAATATGCACCTCACATGCACTTGTGAGATTAAAAATAAGTTAACCTTTAAGTGTGACGTGGGATGCTTTCTAAATGCCTTATATGGCACTAGAATCTTAATGCTGTGCAGTGTCAGCATCTTCAAGCCACTAAACACTAGAAATAAAATATTTTAACATTTTCTGAAAATCAAATATAAAAATCTGGCCCAGAAAGACCAGAACAGAAATGTACTCTGATTTAATATGGTACAGATAATTTTTTAAAAGCCCCCAGCCACTCACACACACTCTTTAGACGGCTGTAAAATAAACTTTTTTGTGCTGACTATCATGACAACTCTAGTTGATTTTGTGATAGGAACAGGAATATAGGTCTTCAGCAGTGCATATGAGAAATGAACTGAAAAAGGCCATTTCTTGGATACAAGAGGACTATTGGAGTAATTCATCATGGAGGGATTGGACAATTCTGAGATTATGGCCAGCTGGGAGATTCCAGGAAGACTTCAGCTTCTTCTAGATTTTGAATGCTGAATAAGCCACTGAAGCGTGATATCTAAAGGAAAAACAAAAGATGCACTGGTGTAAGATTTTTCACATATAGCTACAGATTTAAGTTACACTGAAAAGCTCTTTGGGGGGGGGGGGGGGTATGTTATAGAAAGTTCTTCCAGGATACTGTTCTCAGTACACAGCTGAGAGGAACCTTCAATATTGTCACAGGCTGGAGAAATTTCCCCTCCCCTGCACCCCTAAAGGAGTCTGTATGGGAAGTTAAAACATATGCGGTCTTCCCTTGAAGGAAGAAGGCACTCTTAGCATTCCAATTTGGAAGAACTGCCACTTTTCACCATGATCTCATTCTTCTGGCCAGTTGGTCAACTATGAAAAGGACTCCAAAATCTCCAGGAAAGGCATGAGACATCATGGAGAGAGAATTAAGTCAAGTGCCTAACACACTGTAGTAATCAGAGCAAGCTGGATGCATTACGTTAGAAAACATAAAACACCCATACGGGCTACAGAGTTTGCTTATTTAACAAAATCCTGCATCAATCTCTTTTTCCTCTCTGGACCTTAACCTCCTGATGCAACCAGAAGCATTTAGCCTAGAGATGTGAGAAAAGGTTGGTGAAAGACACGAAACTTGTACATTTGAGGCAGGTGCTCGTCGTCTTGTTCCTAAAATATAAGGCACAGAAAGCCAAAAGGGAGCAGCTTATGTAATGCAGTGTACTATGGGGGGGAACTGCTGCTAGGTAATTAAACTTAACTCAATGGTTCTCATCTTGTGGGAGGTCATGACCCAGAAGAGAGGCGATAGCAGCTTGCTCATATTCACTACCAAGAGATTTCTGTTGTAGGAGACTCACTGGTACCTGGTCTTACTGCCCCTCCTATATCCTCACAAGTGCCACATAAATCAGCAAATTTCAACAGCACCTAATATGAAACTGCAAAGAAGCCAGTGGAAGGAATACCTGGGTACATCTGAGGACCCCAGTACTAGGCAATCCTCAAAACAATCTATTTAAAAAAACTGAAGCCAGAGTCTTCTCTTAACCCACACACATATTGGATCTTATTAGCTGTACAACAACATGTTCAGGGGAAGCTACCTTTATTCAGATACATAAGCCTCAAGCACACTAGCCTGGGAATCAGATGAGCATCCTACTCTTAGTTCAGATGCTAATTGACTGAGCTAGTATTCTCAGTTTACTCATCTGTACTCTGATGTTTATCCTTCTATCTTTGATTACTTAGACAGGTGATGTTATAGGCACATGTGCTGTCGCTGTTCCAATGTTGTAAGCAGAGAGTGTAATGAAGGGATAATCCAAAGGGATTCTTACCCATGTCAATTCCCTGAGCAATCACAAGACCGTTGAAGCACAGGAAGATTCATGGAAATGAACAGCCAGAAATACAAACCAGGACACCAAGTGTCCTGGTTTGACTCCCTGCAGATAATCTACAACATCCTTCTGAATCTTGGTTTGGAAGGACTGATTCCAGAAAATGTGGTTTGAAGATAAAGGTTAGCTACATTCACTCAAAGTGGTAACTTAATTTCATATTATAAAAAGGCAATGATAAAGAAGTTGTTCCATAAGGGAACATCTTTTTATATACTGGTCACGTTACCCAGAATGGTTAATGAAATAATAGATATGGTCAAGTCACCATATGACAATCTAGCTTCCCCCAGATCTTGGCAATGCAACAGCCTTGTAGGTGTTGCAGCATTAGTCATTTAAGGTCATGCAATAGCCTCCAGCCTCAACTAGCTGTCCTTCTTATACTACTGTAGAGTAGGTGGAACACCTAACGTTTTGTTACCTAGCAAAGCAGATTGCACATTTCTCCCTCCATATTTGTCTAAGCATCCCTCTGATGCATCTAGCCCAGAAGTAAAAGAAACACAACACCCACTACTGCACCAAACAAATGAGATTTGTTATGCAATAAGGAATTTGAGCCTTTATGCATTCATATGCTTCATTTCCTCTGATAAAATCATGGGATAAGTGTCTATGAAACCAGTTTCCTGAGAACTAGAACCTAGCTACAGTTCTTTACATAAGCTTCAAATTTAAAAAGATTAGTTTAAGATATGAAGTACTGTATTTTATACAGCACTATTTTAGCTAAATTTGCTATTTCTAGCTCGCAGCTCATAACGAGAGACTAGCTGAAGTAATGCAATAAACTTCATTTCACTGACTGGATATAAGTACTGTAAAGGCTTCAAGTTCAGTCTTAACTCCTCTAACGTGGCATCAAATTATTTGTACTACAATGACACTGAGGAAGTTACTATAATGAATTTATACTGTACGGTACTTTGAAAATGGCTCAGACTCATTGCCTATGTCTAACACAGATAAGAGGTTAGAGTGAGTGTACTTCCAGTTTAACAAAGACATCTTTCTCAAATTGGCATTTCTGGGTTAAGCGTTACCTATATTATCCTTTTCTTTGCAAGAAATTGAATAGCAGCAAATTTCTCTGTCCTGAATAGCAGCCAGATTCCTGAAAGAGAGGAGACATGTAGTAACATCTGGTGATCACTTAAAGTAGGATCTCATTTTTACATTAGTCACTTAACATTTCCAAGACACTATCACTTAATCTACTGTATGCAAGCTTGTTTCTCTATAGCATTTCAAGCCATCAACTGTAAATAAGACACCAGCGCAATAAGATGAAATTTGCTAATTATTTTCTATGGCTTAAGACTGGTATCTGTAAGAATTTAGTAAATTAAAATTACAGTAGACTCTCCCTTAACCACATCTTCTTTAAGACTTACATCTTTTCAATTAGCTGCTTCTCATCCAGAGCATTAGTAAGGTCTCTCTTGTTTCCAAGTACTAGAACCTAAAACAGTGGATATTAGCAACAGTGATAAGCATTACAACATTGCTCACAACCACAGGCAGTCATTAAGAATGTATATTTTACTTTGAACAGAGGGAGACAAAACGTTGGTCTGTGTCACTTTCAAGGCATTGTAGTGAGATTTAATAAATTGGATTTGAGTGTTTGCACCTCCCCTCAGTTTATTTTATCAATAACGTCTCAGCTGTTAGAATACCAAGGTCAAAACAGAATCCTCAAAACCAGATTACGAAAGCCCCTTCCAGAGGTCTGCTCAAGTCCTTAATGGCTGTCTTTAGGACAATCAGCAGGTCTTATTTCAGTTTCCTATGCTTTAGGGCTCCTCTTTCTTGGAAGTCTGCTATTCCTCCACCCTTGCCCTCCATTTTTGCATTGAAGAGTGGATTCTTCTCATGGCTTACCTCTATGGTTACTGGGTTTACCTTTGTACCAAGTTTCCCAGATCTCTGCTTGTGTTTCTAAATTTAAATTGTGGATTATGCTTTGCACCACATTTGTAATTTATTGACTATTATTGTGTTATGCTAACATGTAGAAGCCTGAGCCAGATCAAGGCCCCACTGTGTTAGGCATTGTACACAGTAAACCTGTCCCTGCCCTAAATTATTTACTTGTAGTAGGTGCTGAACAAACAATTTAAACAGCATTGAGGAAGATGTACCTAAAGCATGGGATAGCTGCATTATAAAAATGCAAAGAAAAATAGAACAGGCATGGTAGGTGATAAGTGTTTGCACAAGCTAACTTTACCATGAAGAACCAACCTTATCTGCTTAATAATTTCTAAGATTTAATCTACAGATTTGCATAACTTACATTTCATTTGAAGTTACTAAAGTTGCATACAAATCAGTGTGAGACTGAGTATGTTTGCAGTGTTGTAGCTGTGTTGGTCCTAGGATGAGACAGACACAAGGTAGGTGACGTAATACTTTTTATTGGACCAATTTCTGTTAGTGGAATGTACAAACTTTCGACCTACACAGAGCTCTTCTCCAAGTCTGGGGAAGGAAGCAGAGTGTCTGAGGTAAATACAAGTTGGGACAGACTGTTAAGCAGAAGGTTTAACACAAATTGTAGGCCATCACTTGAAATGAAGAGGGCAATTAAGGACAGCAGGCAGTGTGGTGTGTTACAAATTGTTGTAATGAGCCATAAAACCAGTGTCCCTGTTAAGTCCATTTTTTTGTTGTCTAGCAGACTTAAAGCTAAGCTCCCAACCTCACCTTTTGAGTATGTTGTGCAGGTTTTCTTTGAGGACAATTATTGAAAGATCAGATCTGGAGTGATCACGTTGGGGGGAGGAGGGGGAAGAAGGTTCAACCCTGGGTGATGCAGTGTTTTGGTCATTTATCATTTTTCACAGATCATTTGAGAGCATAGTGATTGTCTGGTTTCACCTAATAGTTGTGATTGGGGCATTTAATGCACTGGATAAGGCATACCACATGTTGTGATAGGCACATGTCAGATCCATGAATCTTGAAAAGGTACTGATCATTGTAGCAGTGGAGATACGTCTCAAGGTTTTGCACAGTCCCTGAATCCCAACCAGCAGATAGCGAACAAACTTGTAGACAGAGCGGATGCTATCATAGCATTTAATCATGATAACTATGTCAACGAAGCCAACAGACAACTGACACCACCTATTAAGAACACACCACAATTCACCCAGGAACTTGAAAGTTACCATCAAATCCTTCCCCCCAAAAAACTCCAAGAAAAACTCTACAACCTCATCCCCCACAAACCCAGCCCAGAATTGTTCTATATGCTTCCCAAGGTACACAAACAGGGGAACCCAGGCAGACCCATCATATCTGGCCATGGCACTCTTATTGAAAGAATATCAGGACTCATAGAAAACATCCTTAGGTCACTCACCACAAAAAAGGTCTGCTTCCTCCACAGCACTACCAGCTTCCTCCAGAAACTCCACACCATGAACAATCTTGCCCAAACCTCCATATGTGGCAAGGATGGTGTTCACCTCCTTATATACCAACATCCCTCACTATGATGGCATCATTGTCTGCCTCATGAATACAAGATAACATACAATACTCAGAAATCCACCCAAAACACATCACCAAGCGCATCCATTTCATTTTCACCCACATTTAACAAACACTTTGTCCAAACCCTGGGAATGGCCACAGGTACTACAATGGCTCCCCAGTATGCAAGCCTCTTCATGTACCATCTTGAGGAAGAATTTCTGGAAAAATGCACCATGAAGTCAATGATATACCTGAGATTTCATCAATTATATTTTCATCCTCTAGACAGAACACCTACACTTCCTCAGATTTCCACCACAACTTCAACCACCACCATACATCCATCAAACTCTCTCCAGAATACTCCCATATCAAGATCACTTCCTGGACACCATAATTTGCTCAAACAATGGAACCCTACAAAGAGCTGTAAACCCAAGTAACCCTCCGATCACCACACTTACCTTCCTAGATCCAGCAACCACCCCGAGAAGTCTTATCTACAGCCAGGCACTCAGATACCACAAAATATGCTCCGAGGAGAAAGTCTGGGATATACACCTTCACACACTTAAAACCACCTTCACTAAAACAAGGACACTTCAGAGAAGTGGATCACATCATGGTAAGGGCCACCTACATACCCCAGGGGAAATCTGCTTCAATACAGAAAAAACCCTTCAGACAACACACTCCTATTTGTCAACATCCCACACGGGAACCCATATTGAATGTCTGTCAAGCTGTCTAGAATGGCTCATGACCATGAGTGCCAGTCTCAAGGCAGACTTAAGAAACAGGGCAAAAATCCCCAACTGGTTGTGTTGTCTATACCTAGATTTCACCAACCAAGTATTGAGTGTGAACGCCTCAAGCACTAGAACAGCCTTAACATATAGAGTCACAGACAGCCCCCCTTGGGTAGTCGGTTTATCTTGCCACCTAGGCAAGCTTGCCTTTGTGATGGATAGTCCCTTATACCAAAGGTCACAATATTCAGGTTACTCCCAGTCCCAAAGGACCAATCACTTACCCAACTCAACTCTACCTTAGATCTCTCAAAGACAATGCTTGTGGCCAATTCTATAAACTAAAGATCTGTTAATTCTAATTTCTTTTTCTTGGTTATCTAGAAGGTTGCAGCAGGTAAACACACACAAAAGAGTTACAGTCGTAGGTTTCAAAAGGTAATAGAAGCTGCTGTAAGATGCATGGTCTATGTGTCCTTTAGGGCTAACACAAGCTAAGCTAAACTTACAAATATTGCCCTCTCCAAATTCCAAGCAGCATAGTGATGCAATTCCACCTGGTCAGGAATTTGTATTCCCTTCCCCCAGAGTTCAAACTGATGGAACAAGTGGCAGCACCTACCTCCTCTTCATGGGTGGATGGGTGTGGGCACGGGAGGGAGGGGAGGTAGGAGACCCCTCAATCAACGAAGTCTTTGTCCTTTGAGGTTTCACAGTGGCTATTTGATTTCAATAGGCCTTCTTGTGTGAAGGACCAGCACTTTGCATTAATTAATGCTTCTTTCCCAGGTTACACAATTACAGAGGTTTACAATGCACTCACTACAACCTTCGCCATGGGCCACAGATGTTGTATCCGAGATCAATACACGCAGCATCCTACAAGCATTTCATCATGTGTAAACACTAAAACACATTCTTGTCAACTTATCTGTTTTAATAATGCTAACACACAGATTGGTGGGCACAGATTGGTGGGACCAGATTGGTCTCCAGCTATGTAGGTGTCAGTGTTGAGTGAGGCTTAGTGCCCTTGGCATTAGCTGGCACCTGGTATGCCAGTACCACATTATCAAATAATTACAGCCAATATTTGATGGAAACCACATCTGGAAAGAAATCTTTCCTAAACCCCCTCTTCTGGTCTTCAAACAATGCCCCAACCTTGCCAAGTTCATCATCAGAAGCAAGCTCCCTACAGACCAGGACATCAACTCAAAGCAGCACCAGACCCTGGCAGAATAGATGCAAAACCTTCAGACATATCTCCCCTGCAACCATCAATACCCACCTTTCAAAATTCCTGGGTCTACACATGACTCTCACATGTGGTGTACTTCATCCTGTGCATTAAATGCTTCCAAAACAACTATGTTAACCCTTCTGCTTAACCATCTGTCCCAATTTGTATTTACCTCAGAGTCTCTGTTTTCTTCCCCAGACCTGAAGAGCAGCTGGGTAGCTCGAAAGCTTGTACCTTCCACCAACAGAAGTTGGTCCAATAAAAGATATTATCTCACTTATCTTTTCGCTGATACCAACCGTGCAATGTTAGAGCCAGAATATTTTACTTACAGGGATTCCTTGTAACTGTGGTTTGTCTAGAAGGTTATGCAGTTCATTTCGAGAGGCTTCTATCTTTTCACGATCGGCAGCATCTACCATATATCTTTAAAAAGATGTTGTAAATTTAGTTATTCAACAACTTAAGCAGGTTTATAAGCTTCAGAAACTAAGATATTGGCACATGTGTTGAGTTTCAGGACAATCTGAACAAATTTAGAAGTCTTGCAGAGGGGGCAATTGTCCCAAATACTGGTCAGCCAAGTACAGCTTGATAACCTCTCCCATTTAAAATGTACTAGAGTTGGGGCAGTCAAATTACAGACTGTCACAAAGTCATGCAGATTATTTCATATGTCAAGAGGTTAATGTATTAGATCAGAAGTTACATAAACAATAGCTAAAAAGCAAACAGGCCTTAGTTCTTCCCATCATTATTTAAAAGCTAGTTTAGAGGGGCTACAACAGAATTTTAAGATAAAACTGAACACTCGCTTGCAAACTGAAGTGCAAACCAAAGGCTTATTTCTCAGCTGCAAAGAAGAAAAAATCTTCAGCCGATGACAGCAGCCTGATATTGTCTATACTTACACAATAGCATTAACGCCTCTGCAATATCGCTCCCACATGCTTCGGAATCGTGGCTGCCCTCCTATATCCCAGATCTTAAAGGAAGAGCAAGTTTAGCTAGGCACTAGGTTAAGTCAAAATTTAAACATATCACAAACCCTATATAAAAAAACCCCAAATCAGGACTTTCCCTATAAAATTGGGACATCTGGTCACCCTAAGTATAAAAGAGCTATTAAAAACAGGTGAAGTGTTTGATCCTTATGTCTTCTCAGTAGCTTTCATACAAAGGCTATTTCCACTATAATGATATGGAAAGTCCTATACCTAGTCAGCAGGGTTACCTATCACTCTCCCTTACTTTAAGGCACTAAGTAAAAATATAGATGCTTGTATCTGAAAGGTTGACACCTCAAAAAATTCACAAAAGTTGCAGAACTTCTTGTTTTGCTGTGTGCTGGATAATACAGAAGACGCACGGTCTTTGTTTTAGAACCATGTGCAAGATTATGCAACTTTGCACTCAGCATACATGCTGAAGTCAGCTATTTGCATGAGCGTCTCAGTGATGATTGACAAAAGGAACTCTGGCATATCCAGGGGAAAGGTTACTTCTAAGTTGTGCTCCAGAGATCAAGTCTCTTTACAACAGAATACATAGGAGAAAGTCCTACACTTGAACTCAAACTCAAGTGATTAAACTTTACAAATCTACAGACCCGTTTACAAGATCTGTTAAGTTCACTTCTTGCAGTATAAGCAGCCACCATAACTTGTGGTATAAGGTTGTGGATCATTTGAAGAATTAGCTGCAACTGGGGAAAAAAAAAATTGCTTTGAAGTAGGTTTCTTAAGAAACAGGGGGACAGGGAGGAGTCAGAGCACCAGGAAGGAGAGTGGAAGGCTGGGTCAGGATTGTAAATCAGAATGTATTAAGTGCAATTAGTCAGTTGTCAGCATTGGGCAAAAAAAGATACTAGCTAGAATATCTTTGCGGGTACCTTTGTATGTTTCTGCAATAAGTTATGTGTACATGTGAAGGATCATAAGCCACACACTTATGGGCAAAAAAAAATTCAGCCTTATGCTACGTACTTGATGTTACTGGAGATGAGGGAATATGATCAGGACATTATATCAAGAGGCTGGCAGAAGCCCTAACCCTCTGAAAGCTGGGAGCCATGTTAGTCCAAGTGACTAGTATCCTTGGATTTCTGCTCCACTGACAGAATTGACATGACACTTACTAGAAGGTAATTTCAGAGCTTCTAGTTAGTTGACAGTGTGTTTCCTTTACAGTGCTGTAGCATCTCCTGTCCATCTACAATTTATTATATAAAAGTACCACATCCTTGCCCAAAACTAGAAGTCATTTTAATTTTAAAAGTTACAGCTTTACTCTAGGTACCTTAGCAGTGGCATGGGTAAACAAGTGGGAAAGGTTGTAGACAAATATTCATTTATTTAATTTGGGAAGTCTCATTGGACATTAGTCATGAACAGAGAGCCTTAATACATAAATGTGTTGTATGGCCCATACGTTCTCTGGTGTGTACAGCTTTTGATATAACCATAGCCTTTCATAATAAGTATCTTGGTGCTATAAATATGGAAGGACTAGGGCAGATTAGAATCCTGTCAATTCTAGACTGTATCCAGCAAAAACAGAAGTGACCCTCAGGAGTGTGGATAAAACCTTAAAAAGGTGAGCCACATATGCTATTGTATTCTAGATGCAAGAAAACAAACATAACAGTAGCATAGTGGGACACTCATGTGACTTTGGTATATTTCTCATTTAATACAGAGCTGAATGCTGCATGGAGAGAAGCCAACATTTAAACTTATCTATGCAAGAACATTAAGTAAGCATTATTCCTCTTGACCAACTGGAAAATAGTTGAATATAGTCATAACAAAACATGCCAGTTGAAAATTCCATTTTAATAGAGGGGCTCTTAAGCATGAAGAAGTTTAACAGAAGGTTCTGGTTTGATTATTCCATGCATTTTTAAATGCTTCCGGAAGAAAAACTGAAATTCCCCTGTAGTGTTTGCAACTCAGACAAGCAGCATTATACTAGTGACTAAGAACCAGCAAGCAAAACAGGCTTGTCTGGTTTTTTAGGTGTTTTTTTTTTTTGGCCTGACTGCTGGTATGACAAAACAAAGCTGGACTTACGAAAGGTCAATTTAGTTTTCTCAAGTCAGTCTATGAGTTCATTTCAGACAGTGACCTAATCTGAGAGCATCCCTTTAAAAACTATTTAATGCTTTTGTCCCCACAAAGAGCAAAATGTTCTTGACATACCTTTATCGTCACATTACCCTTAGTAACTTTCCTCATGTTGAAGCCCACTGTAGGAATCATATCTTCACTGAATTGACCTGACTGAATAGAAGAGAGTTTGTATTAGATCTTGTCACAATAATGAGAGAATGTTTAAGCCCAGAATCATGTATATGCATGATTGACATTGTTTACAGTACATGGCTATTTAAAAAAAATAAAATAAACACAACTTTTGTCCTCAGATAAGGAGAGAATTTTATAGTTGAAGTGCCAGAAAATATAGGTGATGGAATGAATTTTTGTACAGAGGCCTATTAATTCTCATTTCCAACCATGATTTCACACTCATTCTCAGGCCTATTCAGAAATGTTTCAGTCAAAGTCAAAAGAATGAACGTATAGTGAGCAAGTATTGTGCGTGAAGCTAAACCAGAGAGAGGAAAAATGCTTTGCTTGCATTAAGCCATGTGAATTAACTCAATGTCTTGGTTATACAGAGCTTTAAATGAAAAAGCATGCAAGCACTTCTTGTGATGGAGCTTAGTATTCCAGCTGTGTGCTGTGGGAACCTCACTGCATCACTCTGGAATAGGTATTTTTCCTAAGCTGTGTAAGACACTCAATTGGGCAACATGTACAGAGGGTGTCAACTCCAGTGGGACTGGCTTTCACCGCACACAGAACAATTATCCCTAGAGCAATAAGATGGCAGCCTGAAGAACTTGTACAGCCTCTGAGCCTCCTGAGAAACAAAACTGGCATCTCATATTTCACAATTTCAACAGTACTCAGAAAAGTGGGAGTGGCATGTGTCCAGACCTGTAGACAGCAAGTGAGGATTGCAGTGTGACTGAAGGTTTGAGAGAATCTTCATGCTACTGTGCATTAATATTTAGTATTAAAGATTAGTTATGAATCATGGTCTCACAAGAAGTCTGATGTGTATGTATAAACTCGTACTTCCTTTCGTAGTAATGATATAGTTTTTACTTTTATTTGTAGTGTTAGCTGATGTTGGCCAAAGAAGCTCTTTTACATGGCACTGGAAACTAGAGGCCCCCTTTTTTTTTTTTTGGATAAACAGGTACAGGTCGCAATAGTGCAGATTTCTCCCAGGCTATTCTGCCTCAACTTTAAGTTTACCTCTGCAAAAGTAAATGCTTTCTTCCAGACTTCTGCTGAAGTAGTATTGGCTGTAGTAGGTTTATAGTGGACACTGACCCATTTCACAATCAGACCAAATCAGGTGTCTCTTGCAACATGTCTCAGATGTGAAAGCTTTCTCATTACTCTAAGCTATCCAATCTCTCCAATAGCATATTGCCACGGGACAAGGTCTTGCCTGCATCTTTCCATAACCTGACTCATTAAGTAGCTAAACTGTCCTGTAATATTACTTAGGTCAGCTAAATAAAGCAGCCGAATGAAAACTGCTTTAAACATAGTTCACAAGGTAATAGCCAAAGATAATGATCAACTTGTAACACCAGACCTGGTTACAGAGTTATGCGCCTTCTACAGTTCAGTTGCCCCTTACCTCTGCACTGCATTTACCCATTCTTGAACCAATGAATAAAGGCAACTGGATGCCTCAAATACAGATTCACATACAGGTCCAGCAACTCTGATAAAGACAGACTGTTACGTAAGTTGATTTTTAAACAGACTATTGCAAACTCACCTTTGCTCATTTGACTGATCATATAAAAAGACCTCTGCAGTTACAAAAGTGTGTTGTATGTTGACTTTACTACTCAACGCTGAAATGCAGAGGAAGAGACCAGTTTAAGTGACAGATGAATGAATGGGCAACTTGGGTAAATTTACAGATTCTATTTATACTGCAGGAGGTCTTTCAGGAGTTAAGATCGGTCCAGAGAAGCCAATGGCTTTTTTACAGCATAACTCTGAAGCTATTTTTACTTTATAGTTTGTAGATTGTTGCAACTAGCAATTAAAAGTGATTAAGAAATTTTTCTCTGTAAGATGCCCTGCCAGTGGAGGTTTAAGTTGCTGGTTTTTCAAGCCATTGATAGTTCAGGTTTGCATTTTCACGGAAACTGCTTTTGTCGTGTCAGTGGCTTAGAAAAAAGGTCATGAGTGAGACTTCTCTCATAGTTTTGAGGTACTGTGTGAGTAGGTCAGTAAAGTTCCATTTCATTATTCCAGATGTTTCTCACCTGACAGGTTATTTGGCACTTATTTTGTAACAGATCAAAATCTTACTAGCCATTCTGCATATCTTCAATATCTAGTTTTCAGAGCGTGCTCAGCATTTTGCAAGTGTCAGACTCCAAAGGCCTCTCAGTTGAGCACCCAGAGAATACGACCCCCTTTTTTTTGGGGGGGGGGGGGGTGATGGCCAGGGCTTCAAACGTTTACTCAAGCCATTCAGGTGAACACCTCTGGCCCCCAAAGCCACAATGTGCCCAAACCACACCCCACAGTTCCTTCAAGAATGAAACAGCTCTCCACTGTAACATCAACCTGATACTTTTAGAGATGTTACTTGCTTTGTTAGACTGTACCCTTCCCTTTTAGGTTTTGCACCTACTCCCCACTCTTTCCTAAACAGGATTGTGGATGGCTTTTTTGTGTGTAGTTGTCTTCTGGTTACGTTTTTCTTCTTCCTCCCAGCCCTTATGACCCTTTTCCTCCCTTACACTGTGCACTCTGTTTCACTTCTCCCCAGAGAGCCCTTTATCCTACTTGCTACTATCTAAAGCAGTGGTCCCCAAACTTTTCAGGGTCACACCCCCCTAACCCATGCCCCCCCTCTACCTCCCCGGGAGCAGAGGCCAGGAACAGGGCCACAGCTCCTGGTGAGAGAGGAGTACGGAAGGGGGGCATGAACAGGAATAAGGGGGAGCCAAGGCTAGGGGCAGGACTAGGGCCATGGCTGCAGCTGAGGCAAAGACCGGGGGTGGGAGGGGAAGCCACAGCCAGGCTGCAATCTGGGGCCAAGATTAGGAGTGGGAGCGGAAGCCACAGCTAGTCATGGAGCTGCAGTTGAGACTGGAGCAGAGCTGGATGGTGCTCCTGCCCCATCCCCCATGGGGGCTGGCCTGGTCCCTGCCACGCCCTCCCTCCAAAACTTTCCTCTGTGCTCCCCTGGGGGGGGGGGGGGCGCATGCCCTACAGATTTGGGACCTCTGATCTAAAGAGTCTCTAATAGCATTATCCACACCGGAAGGAATCAGGCCTAAACTTTAGATTAAAGGTGTACTCTACTGGCTCAGACAGCAAGAAGCCAATCACCTAAAAACTATGAAGTACAACTCAGCCCTCATTTATTAAGAATATTCAGAATGCGATGGGATGCTTTAAGCAAGGCAAGCAAAAACAGCCTCAATATATTTGTAAAACTGTTCTTTGACAACACAACGGGAGCAGCAAATTAATAAGCAGTAATATTCTGTTTGTCAGGCAAAAGCTGCCTGAAACTGCAATGTCTGTGTCTTCTCTGAAGGTCACAAGACCACATTGCTTGCTACAATGCACAAGGTTCCTACTTTTATCTTGATCACTTGGCTCTTTCAATTTTGCTCAATTCAACTCTTTTTTCAGTGCTCTCTTTAGGACATCTGTGCCTTCTTCAATGCTGCCCCTTACATCTGAAACTCCCTCCCTCAAAACACAGGTGACCATTTCTCCTTAATATGGCTCACTTCTGTAGAACCTAGCCAAGTTAAATCAAATGATCAAGTTTTGAAGTCATACAGTGCAATATGTGCAGGGCCCTGAATTTTGGGGGATTATGTGTCCAGGTAAATTGGTGCATAATTGCTCTTTTGGTAGCACAAACTAAAGTTTCATTTTAAAGAAGCCAAAAGATATTCCATTTTAAAAGAAGGCTTCAAAATGTGAAACCAATCCAAAGTTGAAGATATTTGCCCAAGTCTACAGGTAGTTAAGTTACATCTAACCATTGAATGGATGGGCAGGAGCACCATCCAGCTCTGCTCCAGTTGCAAAATCCAGTATGTAAGGCAGATGTTAAATGAAGTACCATTTTGTCAAGACAGTACTTAGTTCTTACTTTCAGTACAGTTGTCTCTGAAGATTTAATCTCATTGCTACTTTACTATGGCCATCCAACATCTTGACAGACGAAAGGAAACACCACCACCCAGGGCCGGCTCTAGGCACCAGCAAAACAAGCTGGTGCTTGGGGCGGCACAATTTAGGGGCGGCATTCTGGCGCGGGCCATGCCACCCCAAAAAATGTGCCCTGGCCGCCCTAACTCACCTCTGCTGCTGCGGCTTGTGCGCCTTGCTCGCCCTCCCTCCCAGGCTCTCAAACCCGGGAGGGAGCAGGAGATCCCGAGCAGCTGAGGCGTGTGAAACAGCTGATTCGCGCGCCGCGGCCACTCGGGATCTCCCCCTCCCTCCCGGGTTTGAGAGCCTGGGAGAGAGGGAGAGACCCCGAGTGGCCGCAGCGCACGCAGTGCTTCTCTCCCTCCCTCCCTCCCAGGCTTGAGAGCCTGGGGGGAGGAAGCAGGGCTGGGGATTTGGGGAAGGGGCAGAGTTGAGGCGGGGCCAGGGTAAGAAAAAAAACGGGGGGGGAGGGGAGCCAAAATTGTTTTCGCTTGGGGCGGCAAAAATCCTAGAGCCGGCCCTGCCACCAACTCAGTCAATAGTGCGGGAGAAGAACCCATACACGAGTGGCAGACCTGCCCACAGTGGGTACAGGAGGTCCACTTGCCAGATGGAGGTTGGAGCATACTCTGCGCTTCTTGGCTCACTTGTGGGCCTCAGCCTGGGCTCTCCAATGTGTCTCCATGAGGACTGCACCAGCCTTCACCAAGCTTCTCCAGACTGAGCGGTTGTGGACAACAGTCTCCCATTTGTCAGTGGGAATGCTGAATTTCTTGAGACCTTGCTTGATCTTGTGGCTGTAGCGGAGCTGTGGCCTTCCTGTGTGTCATGGGTTGTTCTTAAGTTGGCCATAGAGCACAGCCTTCAGCAGATGATCTTAAGGCATGCACTTCACGTGTCCAGCCAGCAAAGCCTGCAAGTTTCTAACAGTCTATGCAGACTGTAGGCCGGTTCTCTCAAGGATCTCATTGTTAGTGATCTGTTGATCCCAAGTGAC